ATTTGTTTATGTTTGTTTTTTAAAAATCAATAAAAATTTTGGAAAAAAAGAAGAAGTACCTGTTAGAAATGAGTTAAGGGTGGGGTGTGAATAAGCAAGTGTAATGAGGCATGATTTCTTCCTAGCTCTGGAGTAGAACGGGAGCATGGCAAAGTACTTCTACAGATCGGGGCTCAGTTTTCCTTTTTCCATTTTCAAAGGAAGAAGTTGAAATTCGGCATCAAAAATACTAAATCCTGTTAATTTTGAGAAGCAGGTTAGTATGGCTTAACTAGGAGAAAAGGAGAAGTGAAAAGTGGAATATATTAACATAAACATAGCAATAGAGCCTAAGGAACTTCTAGGAAACAGGATGTTAACTATCATCCCAGTCTATTACCAAAGCACAGCAGATTTTGGCCTAAGAACTAAGTTCCCCTAAATTTTTCTTAAGGAAGAGCGAGATGCATAATATTTTCAATTGAAAAATAAAAGCTTAAACCTGTTCTCCACTCCTATGGAAGTTATTTTATAATCATTTAATTGCTCATTTCCATTATTAATCCAAGCTTATCTCAGACCTTGAAGTCTTTGTCTTCTGAACCACTGCTGACTCAACAAAAATGGTTTTGTCACTATAAAAGTACCCACAGTTGAGAAAAGTTCCCAGATGTATGTTTCTTCCTATTGGCAAGAATAGGAAGAATCCTAAGACTCCTATGAGGATACTGCAGAAAGCACCACACCTCTTTTCCAACAAAATAAAAAGATAAAATCTTTAAAATCACAAATTAAAATAGGCTTTAGGCAAAGTACAACAGGAAACTGCTAAAATGTAATCAGGTGAACATTCTTACCTGCCTGAGACCTATTTTGAGATCTCTTTGATCAAATAAGAAAAAATATTTTTCACTTGAAGAGTTCACCATTTCTAATCAACAACTATAAACAAGCAGGAACCATAGCTCAGTAGAGTACAGAATGCGAAGTTACCACTTCCTGGAAAACTACCTAAGTAAGTTTTCTCAAAATTCCTAGAGGGTATACTTTCATGGAGCAAAGGCATTACATTATTATACAGTATGTGGGACTATTGAGAGAAATTCAAATCATGGCCACCTTTGACAACTCTTATATATTATGCTCTCAGAATAAACTTCACCCAGTTGATTCAAGCAACTACCTGCGTTGTTTTATTCCTGGCTTGGAAGAATTCTTTCTAGCAGTAAAATATATTGATAAAGAACATTGATCACAAATACAAATTTCAATATTTACTTTTCTCTTGAATTCATTTCAAAAATAAATATATGGCCTGAAGGAGTTATATAACATTAAAAACATCTGAAATTAGGATGGACAAAATTCTTAAAGTATGTTGAATCTGGTTTATTGCTGCAATAGAAAGTAATTGGTAAGAAAATGTATTATCTAATAAAATAATTATAAATTAAATTAGTTCTAACATGAATTTTATTTCTAATTATATTTGTCTAAAATTCTATGTTAGAACAATGTACTGTATGCAGAAACAGGCATCTGTTAAGATACACACACACACACACACACAAACACACACAAACACACACAATGGAAGATAATGTTTGTAGATTAGGGGCCTTTGGGCTCCTTGTGCTCTCCTGAGTTTGGATGTTTTCTTGCAGACATTTCATTACCCAACAAGATAACATCAAGCCAGGCTTCCAGGAATTCTCAGACAACTGAGAAACTGAGTATTTTTGACCAAGGCAAGTCTAAAAACACTAAATAACTCCTAGCATTAGAAGAATGCTAAATCCAAAAACACTAGAAGAAGCCTAGCAGTCACATAAATGAGCCATCAACAGGCACATAGAGATAAAAAACATCTATATGTCACTCAAGAAAGAGAAAAAAAAGCCAAAAAAGAAAAAGACCAAAAGACTATTTTACCAGCAATCAAGAACCAGATGAGTAGATTAACATCAAAATTCTATACCAATAATCACATTTGGGGTATTCTATACCAATACCCCAAAGAACTATCAACTCAGCCAAACAAGCTGACAGTAAACAGCAGCCTAATCAAGGAACTACAAAGAACACTCCTACCAACACTAATAAGGCAAACCACAAGTATATAAATTAAGAGCAAATCCCATACCCTTCTAGCACTGATTACCTAGTTTGATAATGAAATATCTGCAAGAAAACAAGCTCAGAGCTTGAAGGACCCAATATATATATATACCTGTACATGTATGTGCATGAATTTGCAGACTGCATCTGTGCAAATTTCCCTATAGGAATCTAGATACTAGATCAGAGGTCTTCAATCTTGACAGCTTTAAGACTTGTGGACTTCAATTCCCAGAATTCCTCCTCCAGTCATGTTAGCTCAGGAATTCTGGGAGTTGGTCCACAAGTCTTAAACTTGCCAAGTTTGAAGACTCTTGTACTAGACGATACATTTATGCATCAGAAGGGAAAACCAATCTTGGTTGAACTCAAGACTGGGATATTATTTGAATAGGATGCAGCAGGAAATCCCAAGATTGCAAATTAGATTAGGAAATCAAAAATCAGTCCCAGTAAATAGTTGTATCTGTAAAATATAAATGTAGGAAGCAAGTATTTTGAACTATTTGGTGATATAATTTGAAAAAGAGTAAAACTAAGTTCTATTTCCTAACTATTCAAAATACCCGTTCCTTCTTTGAAAATAACATTCATATGGAAAGTGTTATTAAATCTTCAATACTAGTCATTTTAAATTAATGCTTGGGCAAGTGAAGTGTAGTTAGTTTTGTGTAAAAGTTCTACAGTGTTTCAGGATTTCAAAAGCTGAATAGTCAAACATTTCATAAATAATTCACAGTGAATATTTTTCTTTGACAGTATTCACATTGCATACGAATGTGGTGTGATTTGGCTTAGCTTTGTATACAAACCCCAAAACTGAGGTTTATCTTCAGAAACCTTGAGGGAGGGACAAGGCTAGACCAAAAAGCTATTCATGTTAAAAAAATCTTTCTCTGTCATAGCTCAATGGTTTTAGTTCATTAAATTATTTGGGGTTTGCAGATTCTTGTATGCGTTAAAAAAACAAGATCATAAGACGACAAAATACAGTGGAATAAAAACACTATCCAGATTTTTTTGCTAGAATACTTTAATTGGTGTATCATGAAGAAAATGAGACTAGTGTCTTGTAGTATTTGATAATATTCTCCACAAACATTATTGAAGAGAACAAAATATTTAAACTAGGACAAAATTGCCTCAGAAGTGAGGCTTATGCAATACCTTAAAATCAACATTTTAAAAACCATCATATATCTTCAGATATTCTCTTTTGCTCAGATAATTCATAAAGATACAAGCCAGGATTATTTTTGAACAGTACAAGTAAGTCTGACTTTAAAAATAATATGCATGGCAGTGTTTCTAACTGTGTGTAACTCAAAGTGATCAATATTTCTGTGCTACCAAAATTAATCCATTAAAGAGACTGGCATATTTAATACCTAGTATGGCTGGCAAGGCCTAACTGCAGTAATTTAACACATGTACAACTTGATCTGACAAAGCAGAATAAATTTAGTTTTTTAATATTTGCAAGAAATACATTTTGTGAATGAAAAAGAATCCAAAATCTGCCTTCTGATACAATTTGATTATGAACAGCAATTAATTCCTAAACCATATTGTAAAAATGACAGCATTTGGCTTTAAAATTGGATTAAATATATTCTTTTTCTTTTTCAGGTATGAGGTAACAAACATGCCCAAGAGAGTTGTAAGTGGAAGAAAATAGCCATTTTAAAAGCAATGCTTTAAACAATGGGACCAGCCCACTCTGGGGATTAGTGAACAAGTCTCCATTCATGTAAATAAATTCCTCAAGCATGTAAAGAAATTGAATTGCAGCAGATGCCAGTATCATGGCAGGACTCCTGTACTTTTCACAGCTGCATGACAAATATTCAATAAGTAAAGCTCTCTTAAACATAAAAATGCAGAGAAAAAAGTAGCAGCAGCTCTGGTTTGATAATAATCTGGAATAATACAGCTGGAAGAGAGAGGTCCTTGCATTCTTAAAAAGGGGTTGCCTAAAAGAACTAATAGAAAATCTCCCCTGCTAATGAAAAAAAAATCAACTAATTGGAATTTGTTGTCAAATGTAAGGTTACATTTTTCTGTTGTTCTTTCTAGAACTCACATGATTTCATCAGAAAGTGGCTTAATCCATGTCCTAGAAACTGAATCATGGATATAACTCTAAAATAAAAGATTGAACCTTTCTGTCACAAAAGACTTTAAAATTAGCAGAAGAATGGAAATTGTCAAGCTCTTTTTTTTTTTTACTTTTGGGGTATCATATCTCTGTACAATTCTATATCCTTGATTTAGATATGGGTTTTCTTCCAAGGAGGTCATTATTATTGACTCAATTAAAACTAAGTCCAATAGGTCTTGCTCCCAAATAAGCCCACATAAGACTTTAGCCTTAGAGCTTGATCTATGTATCCTTATTCACAAATACTATAAATGAGGTTTGCTTTTATTATATAAAAGGTTAATTCCCAATATACATAAGTAGTTGGATATAATTCAACTGGGTAGACAGTACAGATTGCATTATTACTGCAAGCATTCATAAAAAATGCCAATTTTCCTGTACTTTTAAAATTAATATTAACATTGTGTTGTGTTAATGTCTGCCTCTTACTATATTCTTGACAACCACAACAGTGAACCATGGATTTAAACAAGAAGGAAGGTTAATTTGTTAGATTTTTCTCAGCAGAAAGTTCAGATTGCCCCTTTGGTCCTACATCATCTTTGATTTTCTATACCAAATCAGCCAAATCTGAATCTTCCTTCACTGCTTTTCACAGTTGCAATCCTTTGCATTATGAAAGCCATCTAATTATAAAGTAATAAATTGAATTATGGGTCAGATTGTCTGATTAAATATTGGAAACACAATATGGCCACAGTTCAATGTTACAACAAGGACATGGTATTTAAAAAAAAAAAAAAAGTTATTTAGTGGTTATTGCTACAGTGTGTAGACTTATGAAAAGATAACATTTTCTAATGTAATGCTTATAAAGCAGCACCAAGAGGCAGCTACTGGTCACAAACGATCCAAGCTGCTCACTGTTTTTAATTCAAGTGCATCAGCACACCACCAACTTACTTTTTTAATATAGGAATACATGATAACACACAGCCCTCTTTACCCAATTTTAAGAACCCATCCAAAAGACAATACAGGAAAAAAAAAAGAAAAAAGAACAGTCCACCCACTATGTATATCCTTACACTCAACTGAATGACAGGGAACACAGGTTATTTCCCTCTAAACACATAAAAATTACTCCAGGAAATAGCCCGGTCTCATTGGTTCAGCAATTACATATTTGCTGATCTTGGTAATAGCCACACACAACAACAGATCATAAACACCTTGGTAAGTTTGTTCTAAGTCTGAGAAATAATTTCCACAAGTGGTTCAAAGAGCCATCCATAAGCAATATATATCAAAGCTGTATTTTAATGCACATTTCCCCTTAATCACAGCATTTTTCCCATCGAGCAATGTCTAGATCTTCATGCACACACATCACCATGTTGTAACATCCTGAGATGGCAGCACAAATCTTAATCTGAATGGAACAGGGACCTGCCCTGTCATATCAAGCTTTATGATTTTTCTCTCCCAGTGTAGTTTCTGTTTTTTATATATATATATTAAAAAAAAACCAGGAATTGTCCAAAGAATGAGGGGAGCCTCTTGCATATTTGTAGTTCACAAGGTCAGAAGCAGCCGATAGGGCAAGTTTCTGCTTGCCTGCCTTCTAGTCCTGCTAGAATATTATGAAGAGGCCTTCTCTTCTCCCACTGGCTTATGGGGCCTGAGAGCAGGATGGAAGTGATAGGCTGCCATGCATAGATCTGACCAGCATCCCAAATGGTAGTCAGCACAATGTTATCATCTGAACTTGTAGTAAAAAATCAGCATATTTGAAGGATTCTGAGATACTATGGAAAATAATACAAAAACCGGCATCTGACTGCTACTTTTAACTAATACTTCAAGCTAGCAAGTCAGACTAACTTGACTCCATGATCTAATGGAATTCAGTTCCTTCTTGTCTTATCGTTTCCTTTTCTGCTTTAAGGATTTTCTGCGCTTGAGAATCATCTCGTAGAGTTTGTCCATACCTTCTGTGAGCCCCTCACCAATGATCGCACAGGCTGGTTGTATATGGTAAGTGGTGGATGGAGTTAGCTCATGCAGAGCCAACTGTTTTTCTATTTCTGCCACAGGCAAAGATTTTGGCAGGTCTTGCTTGTTGGCAATCACTAACAAGGGAGTGCCTTGATTCTCTGCAAACTTGGTAACTTTGTGCAGCTCTGTTTTGGCTTCTTCTAGCCTGTCCACATCAACAGAGTCCACTACATAAATGATACCATCAGTACAACGACTATAGGATTTCCACAGGGGCCTCAGTTTCTCTTGCCCACCTACATCCCAAAAATGGCAGCTGATGCCCTTTGCAGTTCCATTGCTTAGCTTGATTTTTTCAGTGTTGAAGCCAATGGTAGGCACCGTGTTGACAAATTCGTTGAATTTAAGCCTGTAGAGGACCGTGGTTTTGCCCGCAGAATCCAGACCCAGCATCACAATGTGCAGAGACTGAAAGGCAGAAATATTGGATGAAATGTTTCCCATGGTGTTGATGGGTGACTCAGCAGCAGAAAAATCTTTGCTGAGTCCGTTTAAGCCCTTTTTCCTTGTTAGTCGGTATTAGATCCTGATTAGGTTGCGATTTTAAAATGCACACTCACCCACCGAAACCATTCCAGATATGCCGTGGAGATCAGCAACAATCCGGATCTTGCAAGACAGAAAGCGCGAGGCAAAGGAGGGGGTGGGGAAGCAATGGAGATCGGCTCAAAGCAGCCCACGATCGCCGTGATCGCGCCGCCTGGAATGAGGACCAAGCAGCAAAGGTGTGGCAGGTTGTTCAGAGCCGCAGAACAAAGGTGGTTCTCCGTGCAAATCGTTGATATTTTTTCGCCTGGGTAGAAAAAGAGCTGGGTTTTTTCCTGGATCAACTATTCAGACGAATTGATCAAGAGGGGAACTGCCTCCTTCCCCGCGGACTCATTCATTTTCAGGCAGGAAGTGGCGCCCTCCTCTTAGGCCCACCTTCTGGCGAGAGAGAGCCCCCCCCCTTTCCCTACGATCTGCCTGGGAGGAAGCCCCAATAGGACCTCCCCCAAAAGCTTCCAACGTAGCAACTGCAGCTCAATCCATCAAAGCCCTGAGAAGTGAGCAGAGGAGGAGGAAGGGAGGAGCTTTAAAAGGGCTATGGTACAGCTGGGGGAAGGGAGAAACGTTCTTTTTTCGAGTCCCCCGCCCTTGTTTTTCCAGCCCTCTTTCGCTCGATCAATCACCGCTTCCTTTAATTTGGTCTTTGGTAAATTGGCCTTTGGATAACCTCTTTACCAGATGCCAAATTCAACGAAAATCATTGCTTGGTTTTGTTTGGAAAGGGGTCGCCTGCATCTGGACCGTACCATTTTAGACTACGGGGGAAGTCATATTTTCTAATATTCCCTATCGTATATAGAAATACAATTCTGCCTGTAAAATACCAGTGTGTTCAAAAGAACAAACAGGAGTATGAAATCCCATGTACAGTCTGATCGGAAACAGTACACTCACTGCGTTAGGCGCCGGAAAGGGCAATGATTTATAGGTGAGTGCATGACTTTTCCCTGGTCTGATTGTAAAAGATATCATCGTGGGTCTCTGAAACAGGAGGGCCCAAAGACTCTTAGGCTGCCTCCATCCTGTAAGATAGACATTTTCTCCAGCCCCCATACTGTCTGGATGTTTTTGGTCGGCTCACATCCACCCTCAGTTTCTCCAAGGCTAACAAGTCTGATCCTCACCCAGCCTTCCAAACTCACTAATATTTTCAGCCAATTTACCTGCACGGGAAGATAAAAATTTATTGAAGGAAAATCCATCTGGTTCAATCCCAAGACTGGAGAAAGGCACTGGAAACAACATGGAGGCTGATTGCAAAGATGGTTTATTGAATAGAACCACAAAGACAGTTCTGGGCTGAACAACCGGTTGAATGAGTGGATGGATTTTTAAAGGTTCTGTGTGAAGTTTGTACTGGGGGTGGCACAATGAAGGGGGCTTGTGTTCTGAAAGAGTGTTGGGAAATTCCTATTGTGACTAATGGCTTTCATCCTGTGTTGGATCTTGGATGAGGGGCTGCTTCTAATCCTATCGCTCTGCTTTTGTTAGCTGTCAAACTTTGCTGCAAGCAGTTTCGAAATACCCTGTCTTGAATAGATTTCTGCCTGCAGTGTTTGCTTATGAATAGAGCTATCTGGATAGTTGACTTCCTCTTTCAATAAGCTCTTTCTTAAGTGCTGGCATCTGCTGTGCTCTATTAAGAAAGACTTGTGGGCTGCTACCTGATTCTAAACACATGTTCATCCATTTCTCCTTTAGCGAAATATAATATTCTGCCTTTTTTAATATTTCCCAAAATATTTTATTCTTCTTGGGGTGGGGGCTTCCCACAAATTGAAAGGAGAATTATTCATGCAAATGAGCTGCTAATAATGTGGATTGATAAGGCATCAATATGATGAATTTTCAGGCACAGACCGAAGGGAATCTGCCCATGCAGTGGAAACTTACTGAATAGAAAAACAAGCCTGCCAAAGAAGCTACAGTGGAAATGATAGCATAAAGGGAGGATGTAAGATAAGACATGTAGGCAAAAATTAGCTGGGTCTTCAGAGTGGGAAATGGAAGAGTACAAATTGCAAAATTACTGTAAGAAGAAATACCTACCTTAATAGGAAAACTGTATATAAAAATGAGTCCAAGATGGCGGCAGTGGAGGAAGTCGATTGGGTCGCAGGGAACGAAATTACTAAAGTAGGAAGGTATAAGGAGAGAAACGGGAGAAAAAGAGCAGGAAGTTAGATGAGGAAAATAGAAAGGAAAAGGAAAAAGAAGAAATTGGGGGTAAGGAGTAAAACAGCAAAACAGCGGTGCAGCGAATGAACAGCTGCATGCTGAGTCGGAGGCAGCCAGCAACAGAGTATGGGAAGAAAAATCCAGTCTGGTTCCAAACCAGGAGAAAAATGCTGGAAATAAAATGGAGGGTGGCTACAAGGAAAGAAGGCCTTGGTTTATTCGGTTTCCAGAAACCTCAGTGACAGCAGCATGTTTATGGGGTGGCTGACCAATTGGCTGGGTGAGTGGATGGATTTTTATAGGGTTCTGGGGTTTTGTGATTGAGATGCTCCAGAGGGTTGTGAGCCTTGTGTTTACTATTTTAATGGTGTTAGGTTAATCCTATTATGTCTAAAAGGTCACATCCTGTCCTTAGAGTTGGGTGGGGAATGTAGATTTTGGGAGTCTTGTTTTTCTACTTTTTAAAAAATCCCATCAGCTCCAGCCTGCGGGAGCTGTGGCTGAAGGCACTTTGTTTATGAATAACTGGTCTGGATTTCTGTAAATGGATACTGAATGGAATACTTCAGTTTTTTCAATAGATACAAAAGTATCTAATAAAACTTAGCTAGAAATAAACCACTGACTAAAGGGTTGGTGTCGCCAAGAAAGCTTTGGTTTCCTGGACCATGGACTGCATTACCTACAAAAAGGACTCTTGGCAAGGGATGTGCTGCACCTCACAAAAATGGAAAAATGTACTTGGAAAACACTGGCCCAACTCATCAGAAGGGCTTTAAGCTAAAATTGAGGGGGAGGGTGACCAATCTCTAGAACATAAAACCAATCATAAATCCCAAGAAAACAAATCAAACAATGAAGTGCAGAGTGATGAAAAGAAAAGAAAAAAAATCAACAACTAGGAGATGCAGGAAATATACCCATGGACAGGCATAAAAGTCTTAAATGTTTATATACAAATGCTCAAGACTTGGGGAACAAACAGGGTGAATTAGAAGCAATAGTACATGAGGGTAGGTATGACATACAGTAGTTCCCAATTACAGAAACCTAGTGAGATGAAATCCATGACTGGAATGTACTGATGGATGGATACAAATGTTCTACAGGTGTACAAAAAGAGAAGGTGGAGTTGCACTATATTAAAGAGATCACTACATGTCTATAGAAATGCACATGATCAAAGATAAAAACCCTCTAGAATGTATATGGGTCAATATAAATGGAAAAAAGAGTGACATTGCCATAGGTGTGTATTACAGGCCACCCAACCAATCAGAAAAAATAGAACTTTTGCCAACCAGTTAACAAATGTATGTAGGAAGCATATCACAGTAGTAATGGGTGACTTTAACTACTCTGATATCAACAGAGAACTGATATCATCATCAAACTCTACAGCAAGTGGAAGACCAAACAGATTCCTAACCAACCTAGCTGATAACTTTGCCATCCAAAAATTAGAGGAGGGAACTAGAAGGAAAACTATACTGGACCTAATTCTTACTAATATAGAAGACATGATAGAGGAAGTTGAATTTGCTGGAACCTTGGGTAAAAATGATCATATGGCATTCAATATAATGCAAACACAAGCAATAGAATATAATTTAAGCACTATCTTAAACTTTAAAAGAACTGATTTTAGGAAACTCCACTTCTGGTGGAACCTCCCACCCTTGATTGTAGCAGACTTTTAGACCACTACAGACCCTCTACAGTTGTAGATGAGGCTTTGGAAATCAGACCCTTTGCTTCCTTAGGCAGCTGGGAAGAGGAGGAGGGGGGAGGAGGAAGAAGAGGAAGAGGAAAGGAGGGAGAAGGAGAAATTGATCAGTCCCTGTGGAAGAATCAGCCATTTCTAACAGACAATAAGGCACTACTTTTTTCTACATATTTTCTTAGGCACTACTTTTTTCTACATATTTACATTACATGCTGAAAGAGGCTTTCTTTAGTTGCAGTCTGCCATTTCCTTTTTTGTAGAACTATCATCATTTTTGAGACTTCGTGACTTTAAGATGGTGAGGAGGGAGAACCAGGCTATCAGAGCCAAAATAAAGAAGCTGGAAACTACTAGAAACTAAAGCATTGTGGAAACTATTCCTATGTTTAAATTTTTTTTGCCTTAAATTCTCCAGAGGTTTTTTTTTTATTACCCAACTCTACAGAAGGTTATCTTTGAGTTTAAATTAAAAACTGTCTGAATGGTGTTTAGTGCTTGTGAGGAGGGGTGAAACAGTTTTATTTAACTGCTTCTGACTGGATAAGGGGTGTAAAAGAGGCAGAGCCTAAGTTTTTTGGCTTTTTTTATGAAATAATGTTGATTTACCACAAGAGGCAGCCAAATAACTGTAGTACTGCTAATTCTCCCTAATGTTTCACTAGTATTACTAAACCCAGTGGAGTTTATGCTACAAATCTAAAACTCTAAAACTTTTAATTTCAAAATTTTAAATCTTAAATCTAAAAACTTAAACTTCAGTAATACCCTACCCAGATGGCCACCCGCAAGAAAACAGAAAAGCTGGAAAGATTATCAGGAGATATAGAACTTCTAAGGCCCTTTATGGATGAATATACTGCTAAAATACATGAGTTAATTCAATCCATTGGAATAAAACTTGAAGCCAAGTTTGATGCCCTAGCAAGGGAACTCCAGGAGGAAGTCCAACATTTGAATGGAGATATGAAGCAGGTGAAAGATAGAGTGGATGTTATGGAGCACAAATTCTCTACGTGAAGTTGAACTGGAAGATAATAATTTTGGAAGCTCAGATTAAAGAATTCCAATATATACATACATACTAAGTATGTATGTATATATAAAAAATAAAAAGAACCCAATCTGCCTGAGGATGGCAGATGAGATTCTGCCGAAACGTCGCTATAATAAAAGCACAAATATTAAGACATGGGAAAATACCCGAAGAAACCTAAATACCATACATATAAATACCTGCAAAAACATAAGAAAACATATATATATATATGTTTTATATATACACAAACATAAACTCAATTTAGACCTAAGCTATTTATGCAGATGAATATGGTACCCACAGACAGTTACAAAGTTTCTTGGGATTCACACATTTTTACAGGCAGTTCATTCCCTCCTTTGAGAAAATTGCCAAACCCATGACAGACCTTCTAAAACAGGGAGCCCAGGGATGAAGCCCCGCCTGGGGCAACCCCTACAGTGGGACCTAACTTGCCAAGAAGCACTTGAAACACTAAAAAAGCTCTTTGCAAA